TTGAAAAAAGACAAATTGCAAAAATGAAAGTTATAGCAAAATAGCGTAAAAGTGATTTGCAGAATCCGCTCTCGATTAATTCGGAGGTTGTCAAAGACTAATTAAATAGCTCGTAAGTGCGAATATAGCTCTTAACTGTAATGCTTATTAGCACTAAGATCAAGAAGAGATTCTATGAATTGAATGAAGCTTAGTATATTCTATTTAAGAAGCTCGTCAAGATCTATGTACATGTACCTGGGAGCTCTAGTGTGCTAAGAGCGCTATTAAGCGAGGTCATATGACATGTCACATATAGCTTGGGTAGAACCATGCCTGTTCCGCACAATATTAAGTATTATAAAAGTGTAAGAAAATAATAAAAGCAGTATTAGCTTTTAAGCTATACGTTATATCTTTAAGTATCGATATAGCTATTGCTATATCGACCACTTTTATTTAAATTATAGCTCAGCTAAGAATACTTAATTTCCCGGTGGTTATATATACTAATTCTTATTCGCTTTACGAATGTATAGTAAAGCTAAGGACTATTAAAGAGAAGCGCTTAATGATCGATATTATAGCTATTCGGGAGTCATACGAGAGGCGGGAGCTTTTTAAAGTACGCTAGATCGAAGGAAAATCTAACCTTGCTAACGCTATAATTAAAATCGAGGCTAATACTTTTTTGCAAAAGCTAGTTTTGACCAATACCTTAAAAGTGCAAGTAAACGGGTGGGTAGAAAGGCCGCTATAAAAGAAGAGAGAATAAAGGGTTTGATAAAGTGAGATTGTTTTTTTTTTATTTAATTACTTTCTTTCTTTTTTCGGTCGATATAATAGTTAGCAAAGCACTGCTTGCTAAAAAAAGAGTTGCCGGTATCGGTATCTTTATATCGATCTTAGCTAGCTAGTAATAATAGTTAAAGAACTTATTCGTGAACTATAGTTTACGAGCCACTTAGCATGCTTCGCTTAGCATATTAGCAGTTAAGGGACCCTTAACTTAATAAGTAGGCTTATTAGTTAGCTAATGCACGTGATTCCTTTTAATCCTATAAAAGGAATCAGCTCCCTTGAATCTTAAAGAGCAGATAGAATTTAAATACCTTATCAACCGAGTGTTTTGCAATTGCAAGTACTTTGACGACCGTTACGACCTTACGAATATATATTCCCAATCGCTTAGAAGCAATCCAACAGTCTTGATTAAGTAGCTTAGCTAAATAAAGCATATAAAGTATCGGTAATAACGAAGATCTTTACGGAGTGCCGCATTTTACGTCGTAAGTGTTCGTGATTTCTTTTTTTAATCGGACTTTAACTTTACGGTTTAAAAGAAAAGATTCTATTAGCTTAAGTAGTAAATACGGCTAGCTTTGCTTCGTTATGCGTTTAAAAAAGCGACGGGTCAAGACCGTATTAAAAGCTTTTTAAACGTTTATAATAACTATAATAATTTAATATTTAGTTGTAAGTGCGGATTCGATATCGTATATTAAGCACGAAGCGAAGTTTAATATAAAGCGCCGTAAAAAAGCTCTTGCGTGTTATAAGTTAAAAACGTCGTTAATAAAAGTAGTTTACGCAATTCTTTTCGCAACGATATGCTTTAGTTTTTTAAAAATATACGAAAGCAAAGCAATCGGTCGTTAAAAGCGGATAAAAGTCTTGTTTTTTTTTTTTACTTTAAAGATTATTAAGACTTCGGCGAGCTTTTACGCATTCGAAAAATAATAAAAAGCTAAGCACTTATTAAAGAAGCTATAAAAGAAGTGATAAACGTATTGCTAGCATGCTTTAAGCAATCGTACGGTGATTTTGTTCGTTTCGAGTAAAGTGCTTGTTATTTCGATTACGTAAGACTTTACTTTTTTTAATAATATCGTAGTATCTTAAAAAAGCCGGCTAATGCTTTTTTAATTAGCGAGTAAGTCGTAATCGAGGTCGTCGGCGGCGTTAAACCGTTTAAAGATGCTTTTTCGCAGCGCGTCCGCTTTTTTTTTAATATTTTCGATAGCTTCGTCGTTAATTATTAAAAAAAGCGATTTTAAATTCGGAATAAGCTTATATTAGCTTATGACCTTATATAAGTCTTAATTCGATTTTATTCCGTCGATCACGTAAGTCTAATAAGCTCTTTTAGCTTTTTTAATTATAGCGAGCTAATCTCGCGTTTTTTAAATCGGTTCTCCGTCGTATATTATAAAGCGCGCTGCTAAGTGTTTCTTATACGCTATTTAATAGTCTGCCGTTTATTATAATGCAGCCGTTAACCTTTTTCGAGTAAGCTATTTCGTAACTTTTAAAGCAAAATTAAAAGCAATAATTAAGCTGATCGCAAGCTAATCGAATTCTTCGATAAAGTGTATCGTTTACGAGTCGAAGAGTTGGTTTACGCTTAGCGCTATAAGCGAAGCGAATTTTTCGAAGTCTTAGTCCGGTACTCGATATTAAAGCCGCTTTAAAAAAACGATTTTTTAATTAAAGATAATCGTAACTTAAGTCTCGTAGTTTAAGCTCGAATAAAGATCGAAGCGAATTATCGTTTAAGCAAACGGGATATTTAAAAAAGTTAAGTTTAAAACGTAATTAGCTTTATAAGTAAAGTCGCTCGAAAGTCTAATATAATCTATTTTATTAATATTAAATTAAGCCGCAAAGTCTTTTCTTTGGCTTTTAAGCTTAACTTTTAATTCGAATATATCGTATTATATATTGAAATTTTTTTTAATTAAGCATTTAAAAAAAAAAACGAAATAAGTAATATAATTTATAATCGAATCTATTAAAAGTTGCTGATAAACGTTTAAAGTAGCGAAGCCGTTTATATCGACTTATAAAAGATTTTTGTTGCGAATAGAACGGCGTTATTAAATACGAAAACTTACGCTTTTGCGCACGTAAATTATTATTCGTAATCGCTTAACGAAGTATTAAATATCGTTTTAATTATTTTACGATTTTATCGAAGCATAGCAATCGTAAAACGAGTAGTTTTAAGTTTTAATGCTCGAGTGCGTATATAGCTTTTAAATATAAATAACGTTAATGTTTGCCGAATAGCAAAGGTAGAATAAAGTAATATAATATAGCTGCTTTTTGCTTACGTTCGCTTAATAAACTTAGATTTCTTTAAAGGGCTATCGATTGCGGCGAGTGCCGCGGTGTTATATTAGCGTGCTTAATATATAAAATTGTTTTAAATATTTTAGCTAGCAATAATGCTCGAGCTTTTTATAAACGAAAAAGATAAGTTAATAATATTATTTACGTAATAGTCCGATATCGCTATTAGCGTATCTTTTCTTTTATTTATAATAAAGAAAGCGCTATTTATTAAAGTCTTTTCGTTAAGGTTTTTGCGCGTAATTGTATTACGCAAAAGTCTTATAGCTTGCGTAAAAGATTAAAAAGAAGATTATAAAAAAACGGCTTAAAAAAAGGTCGCTCGCTCGTGCTTTTGCATCGTAAAAGCGCGTTTTTTCCGAAAAAAAGCCGCGTTAATATCGATAGCAAAAGTTTTTAATTAAAAAGCCGAAATCGATTCGTTCTTTTCCGTTATAAAAGCAATAGCAATAACGTAAGCTTAAGCTTTTAATCGTCGAACGGCGCTTAGTTTCTTTTTAATAAAAGTGATTATTTTGCCGTTGATTCGCTTAAAAGCCGCAAAGCAGTTCTTATGACTAGCTTTATACGAGCCGTAGCAATTTATATAGCGAAAAAATACCGTGCAGTCTTTGCCGTCGAGCTCGTCGTATTAATCTTTTCGCTCGTTATAATAAAAGTAGCGCGCGTGCCGAATACATTTAATCGAATTATATTAATCGAAGCAGCTAAGGTCGTGCTTTTTAATAGATTGCTTTTTATCGATTAATCGAAAGTAGCTATTGCAGCCGAACAATTTAAAGCTGCGTACTTCTTTTAAAAAAAAGATTATTTAGTAAATTAAGCCGGTCGCCAAGTCGGCTTTATGCTAAAAAATACGAACGCTTATTAAAGCTTTTTCGGCTTAAGCTAAGATTTCTTCGTCGATATGCTTCGCCGTCTTGAAAATCTCGTCGAAAAGGCTTTTGATTTTAATAAAGACCTTTTAAATAGCGTACGTATATTATTTAATCGAGATAATCGCTTTCGTAGCTTTAAGAACTTTTTAATATACTTTTTTAGCTTTATTTATAATAAAAAAGTCTTTCGCTTTAAGGTTAATTAAAGTAAGTGCTTAACTAATGCGAATAGCTTTAAGACGAAAGATAATAATTATATCGACGCCGTTTAATTTATCGGCAATAGCTTTGCGAGCGGCGTAGCTATCGAAACGAGCTAAAAGTGCGGCGAAAAGTACTTGAATTAAGACTCGCTTATTTTAACGTATCTTAAGTTGTTCGTTAAAAGACTTACGAGTAGCTTAAAAGCTCGTAAGCTTGCGAGTCTTTGCAAGTTTTATTTTTATAACGAAAGAGGATCGAAATAGCTTAACGATTGCCGATTAAATAGCAGCTTTTGAGTTTTTTAAAGTCTTTAAAGGCTTTACGGAATCTGCTTATAAAATAGACTTAAAAAGAGCCGTTTGCTCGTTGCTATAAAAAGCGGTCGAAAAAGAAAAAGGAATAGCTGCTTCGATAATTGCGTATAAATAAGTACGCATAAACGTAAAAAGACTTTTAAAAAACTTTTGCGTATAATATCGAGATTCGAAATCAAGTTGATCGTTTACAATTTAATTTAAAGCGAAAGCGTATTGCTGCTAGACTTATCGTTTAATAATAGCCGCGCGGTCGATATCGTCGAAGTAGCTTTCGATAGCCTTCGTCGCCGTATTAATAGTCGGTGCTTTTCGTTTTAATACGAAAGGAAAGGGCTGCAAATTAATAGCAGCGTTTCTTTTTCTTTTTTTAAAATGCTAAATAAGATTAAACGGCGATGCAGCGTCTTAAGGCCGTATATAATCGGCGTTGTTAGTATTATTATTGTTTGCGAAAGACCGAGATAAAATAACGGGAACTATTTTTCGAGCTATGCGGCGAGCGCAACGAGCTATTGATCTGGTTTTAACGGATTCTTAAGGAAACCGTATCTTAAGAATCGAATGCAATAAAAATTAAGTCGTTATGAGCAAGTTGAAAATTTCGTATTGAATAATTAAGGCAATCTATACGGTGCTGACGGGGTGGTGGACAGCTCGAACGGCGCATTCAGATCAGACCCGTGCATTCTAAAGCGTTCGTCAAGCTGCACCAGAGCGGACAGGTGTCGTGGGCGGGTAAGTTCACTCCCAAAAACCCCTCAGAAAATGTACAAAAAAAAAAGATTCCACAGCTATCACGAAAGCAAAGTTTGTACTAAGACTTCTTTTCTCCCCCCAAGGGCCCGTATTCAAGGAGCACGTCGTCGAAGGCATCCGTCCCTTCATCGGCAGCGTGATGGTCGTCAATGCCAGCAGCCGCGACGAGGTCAGATCGATTCTCGAGGGCGATGTTTTCGTAACGCAAGGTATCTGGGACTGGGAGAAGGTGAAGATCTTGCCCTTCAGGACGACATTCCGTCATCAGCCAGGAGGAGCTGGAGAGTAGAAACTGCAAAGCCTGTCTTCGGAGTTGCATACTCAACTCACTCGCTCACTCACTGAGGGGCTATGCCATCAGCACTAAAGGTCGAGAGAAAGATTAGTCCGCGCCCGAGAGGGAAAGGAAGGAAATTTGTAGTGTAGTGAAATCGAGCCGGGATAGGACTAGCGACACTTTCGTATTTCTTAACTTGCTCTACTGGGTAGCTGTAGCTGTAGCTGTAGCTCTCAGCGCCGCCTATTGGCCTTGTTCTTCTTGTCTTGTTTTGCCTGAGCTGAAAGCCCGGTTCCTGCTTGCTTGCTGTCCGAAATGAGATTCCGAGGCGTCGTCGTGTCGTGTCTCGATTATCTTGGCAATGGCTTGACCTACCTATTCCGTCAACGCAGTTCATCGTCTGCGATTCACGGCCTCAGCTCATTCAGTGCTCAAGAATAGTGGGGGAGGGGGAGGGGGACGTGGCATTTAAGGCCAGATGAGATGTGATTTTTCTCGCCAGGATCATCATTATTATCGTCATTATAACAGGCTGGAAAAATCCCGGAGTTTACTCTTCTGCAGCAGTGTATATTTCAATTTCAATTTTTTTTTTCTTTCTGAGATACGCATCAATTATTGTTTTTCAGTTGTACTCATCCAAGCTCCTCGATTCTCGATTCTCTGTACAAAAAGTCCCCAGCCTCAAGGAGACTGATCCCGCCGATCTCTAATATCTCACATACCACACATATCATTCTCCAAAGATGCCCAGCTCCTACGTCTCGCAATGGGAAAGCACCGACCCAGAACCCCTCACCCGAGACTCGCTGCTGGGCGTCCTGGATGGAAAGATAGGATGCATCCGAGAACCCAACTTCGTTCCTCCCGATATCGTCGCAAGAGTCGAGGAGGAGCTGTCGCCGAAACTCTCTCCCTATCACGACATCCCCGGGCCCACTCTGCACCGCGTCGGCGTCGCCCAGTTTGAATTCCAGGCCATTTCCGACGAGCAGCTCGAGGAGAGATCGGGCACTGGTGAAGGTTTGATTCCGGCCTCTTTCTACCCCCCGTCGGATGATATATAATATATCCCTCTGGTGCATGCTGACAAAAGTCGGGTTAGAGAAGCTTCAGTACTTTGCAGTGGCAAAGTCGCATGCGAACCTGCATGAAGATCTGGAGCAGAAGATCGGGCTGAATATTTGGAAGGCGGTGATTGATAAGATCGCCGCGCTGCTACCCGACTATGAGGTTGCGGTTGCGGAAGAGGAACCGGGCCAGAAGTACTTTTCGGGCATCTTTCGTGCTATCAATAACTCCACCCCGATTCACTGCGACTGTGAGATCACGTAGTTTTTTTTTTTTTTTTTTTTTTCCAGCTGTGATCCCCGGGAAACATTCCGGTTGGCTTGAAAGAGCAACCTGATGATATATGTGATAACGACTGCCGCCGCGAATCTTCGCGACCCGAGCCGATGGGAGGATCACGTCCAACCCTGATTTATAGATGCATTGAACAATACACCTACTGATCCGCTCCAGGGTCGCCATACGATTCCCGAACCGAAGACTGGCTCATCAACCAGGTGACCAAGCAAGCCGTCTTCAACATATACTTCACCGAGCCCCAAGGCGGCAAAACCGAAGTCCACGACTGCCAATGGACAGACGACGCATTGGACTGGCGAGATTTCTCGTCCTACGGCTACTCCGCGGACCTGGTGAAGGGGCGGAAGAAGGTCACCATCCAGCCTAAGCCGGCCGACCTCTGCATATTCAACTCGCGGAACATGCACCAGGTGTTCCCGGTCGAGCCGGGAGCAGATGGGAAGCAGCGGCCGCGATTGACGCTGAGCAGTTTCATGGGTGTGCTTCCGGCGAGGAGCGCGGCGGAGCGACCGCGCTTGATCTTATGGTCGTAGATCTGTAGGGACGGAAGGGTGTATATAGAATTCCTCGGCTCAGCTCGGCTCGGCTAGGCTTTGGGTGCAAAGGTGCAAAAAGGCGCTCGATCAACCGGATTGTTGCGCAAATGAATGAATAAATGAATGTTCAGACTACACTACTCTTGCGCCGAATGCGAACAACAACCCTTTCACAAGGGCCATGTCGTCTTCCCGCATGCCGAGCAAGACGTCTAGACCAGCATCTCTGTCTTTGGTAGCAAGCACGGCAGAGGAACCATCCCACTGTCCTTTCAGAGGTATCCTCAGCGCGTCTACTATTCCTCCTGTCCACCATTCCTGCTCGAAGACGGGGAAGTCGGCACCGCTAGTGATAAAGAAATCCGTACCCTGGTAGAAATCCGAGAATGCCGGCTGCAGCCTGGATGCATCTCGCTGCGCCGCAGCAGCAGCTATCGTAGCAACTAGAGAGCCGTGTGTTACGGCCGTGATCGCTGCGCGAGACTGCGAGGCCAGAGATGGCAAGCCGAGCCGCTCTGCCAAGAGCGTGGTATCCTGTAAAGAGTCGCTGGGTATCTCTCCTACTGGGAGACGCATTGGGTGTGAGAACGCGGCGTAGAGAGTTGCGTTTCCGGCATACGCGGGTGCGTCCGGGATGCGGCCTCTTGCGTTCACGGCGATTCCCAGCACGGATGGGAGGGTTCGGTGGTCAGTTGACTCCCGAGTGAAGCGAGCAGCACGGGCGTACGAGACGGCGCCGTAGAGAAGAGAGGTGAGGGCGTCCTGCGTGCTGATGACTCGAGAATCAATCGTACAGAGTCCCTTCAGGGTCTTGAGCGCGTCGGGTGAGAACTTGAAGGTGTGATGGATCATCGATGCGTACTCCCTCGTTGGTGTTGCATCGGGCTTTGGAGTGGGATCAACGACCTCAAAACCGATGTTCGTAGCATCGTCGAATTCATCTGTTGCTTGTGGCAACAGTGATCGATCAGTCGAGGGAGCTCGGTTCAATTCCGGACTTGCGATGGGACTTGAGCTTTCCAAACAGTTCCTGGCCAAGAGTTTGACGATGAGGCCTAATCCCGCTCCGTCGGTCACAGCGTGGTGACACTTGATGCAAAGTAGCAGACCCCCTCGGATGAAGGTTGCCATCATTTCGAACACTGGTTTCGAGTCTATATCAGGCGGCGTCAAGATTTCATCTGGTAGTAAGGACACGGGAAACTCGGCCCTCTCGAGGATATCGTAGGTTGGAAAGAATTCTTCTCGATGCTGGACTCGCGGGCCAAACTTGGATGTTTTCCTCGGGACATGGACTTCCAATCGACTCGGATCTGAAGGCTTTGGTACGACGGCCCCTCGAAGTATCGGCAGAGCTTCTAGGGTTGACTCGATCCCAGTTTGTAGAGTTTCGATAATGGTGTCTTTCGACGGAGAAGCCTGCGACAATCGGAAGCATAACAGCCATCTGATATAGAGTCGTGGCATGATTTGATCGAGCTCAGACAGCTCAATAATGGTACGCTCGTCCATCCTAGCGATGAAAGTTTTGGTGGAAATATTGGCCGCGGTTGACGATTTGAGTAGAGACAATCTCGAGGCTCGAAAACAGGTCGCGGGGTTTGGTCATGCGTTTAGCGTCCGATTACGAGTTTTACGAGAGTCCCCTAGACAAATACTCACTCAATTAACACCAACATCACATATACCTTACCTTGCCTCAACTCCCACTATCACCCTCTCCATCATCCCATACTTTATGTAACAGCTCACAGCGCTTACAAAAAAGTTAGGTGTCCCCTCCGTCCGTAAACGCAAGTCTCGCTACAGTAAACGAGAACATGTCCATCTTGCTAATAAATAATAAGCGAACCAGGTCAATCGATAATAGGAGAAACCGACACCAATAGGAAACGTCAGGCTCAGACATAGAATAGATAAATGAACTAAATACTCCAGAGTATTTAATTAAGTCTAACATAGCGCATTCCCGTACCTATCTAAGCAATCGATCGGCAGGCGATCATAATACTTCTCACAGCCTACTTCATTCTGTGCTAAGTACTCTGGGCTGTTCTCCAACAAGAGCACCCACTCACTGTACTCGCACGCAACCGAGGCTCTTAGTACATGAGACAAAAATGACGGTGCTCCGTAAAGTCGCGATTCCATAACGGTAATCATGATTGAGTGAGAAGACAATATCCAGGCTGATGTCGATCGAGTCGAGCCAGACCCATGCATCTTCAATGCCCCAACATTTTTGCTACATGACTAGTAGCAGTGAGTGTGCACGAGGAGGCCGGATCTTGACGAATCCCAAGATCCAGCTTTCGCACGTTCGAATCGAACTGCACCCGCCGCCTACAGTTAGATCCAAGCGCGAAGATTATCAAAATTCGGGTTGCGGATAATCATCCCAGGTTGCGGTGGCGAAGTGGTAAAGTGGCGAAGTGGCGAAGGACCCCCCTCCTTCCCAACTCGTCTAGCTCTGCTTGCAGGCATGCAGGGCTTGCTGACCCTGGATAAGCGACCGACGTCAAAATAAGCTGCGGCTTAACGGCGCGGTCCCTATTCCCGCGGCTGCTGCCAAGCTCTTGGGGCGTTGGAAAGCTTCTCAACCAGGTTTCCGAATGCAAGTCATGTCTTGAAGGTTAAGAAGAAAGAAAAAAAAAAAAAAAAATAACCCGTCAAGGTGGTTCTCGATTCGAGACCCTGCAGCTTGGTCGAGTAAGTAGGACCGTACCAAGAGCCCCTGCCAGGGCTCTTCTTGCTTATTCGCATTGAAGCGCTGCGAAGGGATGCCAAGTAATAGCCGAGCTGCACCCGCCCTCCCACTTCCCCAGCATTACCGTATCCCGATCAGCATAGAATCTCCCTATAAGTTCGGCTTACGGGCATCTTCGTTGTACAAATACTTCAACACTGACTGCACTTTCTCATGGAGTACCGAGCAAGGAGCTGACTTCTTTGGTACTCGACTGTGTACCCGGATAAGAATCGTTCATGGCCTATCTTGCGGTGTAAGGCTTATCAGACTAAGGGTGAAGGCTAGCAATTGACTCTCACTCATCCTCTCTCGCCAGGATGGAGACCACTCAAGCGGCCAGCTAGTAATGTTGCGGGAAGAAGAAACCCACTACATTTTTGACGGTACAGTGGTAGGGATAACAGCGGGCGTTGGCCTGACTCAAGATGGAGGAGTCCAGTGATATCCTCAGCCTGGGTAGCTATGCCACCGCCCACTTGCAGGCGCGAAGCTATTCTGACATCTTGGAGGCGCCCTGGGTCGTTTTCTACTCTGCACGCAACGTCCGAGCACTGTATCAGACCGGCGAGGGCCATCCCGCATTCTGATTTAGGGTTTTGGATCAGACGGCGGACTTGAAAACCCATCTCCAAAAACAATGAATTGCCTACGATTCCATCCGTAAGTCGGCGTCATCAGCGCCACCTTCGAAGCCGCCTTGGTCACCACCCTCATCCACAATCGGTACCTCAATCATGTACTATAACGGCAGTAATAAGATAGCTACAACTTCTGTAAATGCTTATATAGATAGCTAAATCATATTCCGTCCGTCTCAAATTTTCCCTCCTAGCATACTCTCCATGACCGCTAACTAGCTGACATGAACATATCCCAAAGTTCAATACGATCGATCTCCAACACCATATAATCAAATAACCAGAGTCATAATCGCTTCACAGCCCACCCTCATCGATCCCACTAGCCTCTCCTTCATCGAAACCCACCACCAGTCACTCCTCAAGAGTCAAGACCCCCCCTCTAAAGAACTAGTATGCACCGTCTCCAGCGGCAAGATCTCCACCGCAGCCAGATCCTGCTTCCCCTATCCCGCGCGGGAAGCAAGTAAGCAAGTCTTCTTTTTCTTTTCCTTTTTTCTTTCTCCTCCTTCCAAAGCCGACAAGTACAGCAAGCAGGATTAGATTAGATTAGTAAGAAAAGAAAAAGAAAAAGAAAAAGAAAAAACAATATTTACATTTCTCAGCGCCTCCTCCAATGCCGCGATACTCACCGCCCGACACGCAAATACGCTCCTGGGGTTTCGTTCCGAAGACGACGACGACGACGACGATGACGACGACTGCAGAACCTCGCCTGCAAACGTAGCCTTGATCTCCGGACCCAGGTTGGAGGAGGAGATCTCGCGAGAATCGTTCACCATGACGAGACTTGGCCAAGATGGATCCAGTGAGCGAAATGCAGCAGAAATTTGGTTTAAATTTTTTTAATATGAAAAG